ATGACATCAAATGTAATGGAAGTCTAAATAATTGATAGGATATTGAATTGAAAAGAGGTTTTTGATAAACAATTATGTTTTAAGAATAATACGACAAAAACTTATTGCAATGTTATGGATATTATCATTCACTTATCTAACAATTATTTGTTGAACAATTGCGTTAACTAAGCATTATTTGTAGACATAATTAACTTTCAATATTTCAATGTATTTAATAGTATTAATTTGTAATTAGTTTATAAAATACATTTAAAATATTCAAAAACAATACTCAATATTTAATAATAAATGCTTTATAATAATGAAATGCATTTTAAACATGATGAAAATTTGAATGTTTAGACTTTATTTTTAGTTTACATGATTATCTATCGACTGAAAATGTTTTGAAGGATGTTTGCATTTTTAATCTAATTTTATGATTCATAAAATGAATTTTTAACAATTTTTAACAAACGATTATTCTTTTGGGTGTAGTTTTTATACATCAAACTAACAAAGCATTGCTAATAAGGGTTTCATCACATATTATATCATATCATGGATAGTAAAATCAGATCCTTGAGAAATGCCAACGCTTTTTATATTTTTGATTATAATTACCGGTTTTGTTTTCCCATGAAACATAAAAACATTACATGTTTGTATTAATTTTATTACACATATATTTTTGTATGTGTAATAAAATAATTCGAGCTAAAAATAATACGAAAACAATTTGCGAGTAGTTGTTTGTGACAATTAACATGAATGAACATCTAAATAAATTTCTACCATTTGTAATTATAAAATAATTTATTCAAGTGATTTGTAACTTTCCTCAATTGTCTTTATCTTTACAGAATAAATATACTATTTTCTAGAAAACGTTATTATTATAAAGTTCTAAAAAACATTTACAATTACAGTAACACTACAGATATACTCTGTATATTGTAAAATCAACAATTATATTCACAATAATAATAATAATAAAAATATCCATAATAAACAATTTAATTGTATTTAATACAAATAATGTTTTACTCCAGAATTGTTTTACAACTTTTGTATATAATCAAGAATATTAAGATATTAAAAGCATATTAGTAATCAAACATTAGTTAATTTAAAATACCGTTATAATATATAATGACATCATTCGTTATAATTTTCAAACAATAAATTAAGTAAATCACAAAAATAATGTTTAAAGCTATTAATTTGGAAATACAGTAATTATTGTTTATTCATTTAGAGGCGAATATCCAGTGTTTTCTCGACTTCTCTTAACGTACTTATAGATAATAAAGACAAAGATTGCGGCACCGATTAGGGACCCGATTACTATTAAAGCTATTATACCGCCCGACAAACCGTCCGGTTTAGGGGTAGGAGATGGAGACGGAGAGGGAGCTGGAGATGGAGACGGGGTTGGAGAGGGAGTTGGAGAGGGAGCTGGAGTTGGAGACGGAGTTGGAGAGGGAGCATGAGTTGGAGTTGGAGTTGGAGATGGAGTTGGAGTTGGAGATGGTGGTTTTGTGGTAGTGGTGAAAGGGGCTATAGTGGGGGCTGGTTTAGGACATGTGGTCTCATCGTCACCCGCCGGGCAATTTCGATGTCCATCGCATTGAAATGATTTCGAAACGCATTGTTTGCCGGCATTGGAACTGCACTTTATATCCGAAGTGGATATACAATAAGTCATAATCGGATCTGTTTTAAGACAATAATTATAAATAAATAAAATTGTAAAAATGATAAATAATGTGATTAGTAATGACTGATTACCATGAAATTCAGTGACGATTAAATTAAAACTCGAATTACTGTGATTTCCGGCGTGAAATTGAATGTCAACTGAACCGGACTTTCCTTTGAAAGCCATTCCAATGTCTGTTGTATTACTATTACACCATTTGGTTGACGTTTCGTCGACCGAACTCTTAATTAATAAATAGTCACTACACGAGTCATTAGCGCTTCCAATATTAATATCATCGATGCCTAAAACGATGCCTCTCTTTACGAGCAATGAAGATATAGGAATTTGGATACGAAAACTGCAATCTTTTTCCTTCAACAGTCGGGATTCATTGGCCGATAGGTATAGAATGGCCGGAATTGTAATATCATTTTTGTCCTTTTTTAATGTAATCATTTGTGCCGTTAGATTACCACAATGATCCGAAATGTTGTCTACAAATATTCAAATATATGATAACATGGTTTAAAATTATTTTTGTTTGTTATATTCAATACATTTGGCGTATTTATCGGCAAACATCTCTTCAAATAGACGGCCAGTCGTTAAGACGGGTGTTGTTTCGTATGGTTTAACTTCAGTTATAGTTTCATTGGTTCCGTAAGAGTCGGTAATGACATCAATTTGTGGACTCGACGACTGGGCACAGTTAGTCTCATCGTTACCGGCGGGACAGTTGTCAATGCCATCGCAAGTGAATCCATCTGAAATGCAAAACACTTCGCCCGATTCCTGGCATTTGAATGGCGTTGAAGCGAGACATTCATTGAATACGGGCTCTGATATCATATAGACATTGGATTCAATTGTTATAAAAAAATTAAGAAATAAGTAAAAATAAAATATAAATACTTGTATACGGCGTTACAATTAGCTTAAAATACGAGCTATTGTTTGGGAAATTGAATACAATGTCGACACTAGAGTCGGCAAATTGAAGAGGTCTGGCGTCTGAAGTGTTGCACCATTTGGCGATCGGAGACGAACCAAATTCTATGTAATTATCGCAGCTTTGGTCCAAATTAGTGATCGATATGTTTTCGACCGAAACAATCAAACCATCAACTTTTGGTGACATAATTATTCTGACAGAACAGGAACTCGACATCAATGGCGAGGACTCTAAGACAATAGCCGTATCGATGGCCGAGTCGTTTAAGACTTGGATGTTTGGATCAAATTGTGGTCCGACGCATAACTCGGCCTTTACTTCATCTGTCAATCAAATTAAAAGCCGTTTTTAGACTAAATTGTTAACTAAATTTACATTTTCTTACATTTGAGATAAGATGTCATACAATGAGTATAACTGAAGGCCACGCAGAAGAAGACAAAGGAATACAAATGGCTTTTTGACCACATCTTCACTCATGAAAAGAGGTCTTAATTATGACTACAATTTAATGCGAGACTTAAATCAAATCAAAATATTATGATTTATATGTAATTAATGAATAAAAGAATGAATAAAGAAAATAATTAAGGAAATAAAAAGCAAATTGTATTTCACTTTTCTCTGAAATAACACTGAAATCAAATCAACGTTTAATTATTACAATTCTTATCAGTAGTTATGGTCTCAAAACTGGATAAGTATTTGTGTTAATAATTCAATATTAAGTTACTATCGGTTTCCATAACTA